CAAATGTACAATAAATAAGTTAGTGGGTTAGTACATAATAAATATATCCCCTAATAGGTTAAATTGATAATAAACTCTTCAGGGCTACAAACAAATAAACAAATATGCAATAAACAAATAGATAAAATGAATATGCAATAAATAAGTTTGTTGGTAAGTAAACAAAATAATAGTTCAAATTTACAATAAATAAGATAGTGGGCTAGTAAATAAATAAATATACAATAAATAAATAAAATGAATATGCAATAAATAAGTTAGTTTTTGAGTAAGCAAAATCCTTAAATAGATCAAATGTACAATAAATAATAGTGAGTAAGTAAATATAAATATCCCAGCAAGCCAAAAGAAATACCGCCAACAATACTCAAGAAAGGGATTAATACTCAAAAGGTAATAAACAAGATCAACAGGCTAGGAAGCACCAAGCAGATAAATAATACATAAATACATAAATAAATACATAAAAAGTGGGTAAGTAACTGAATCAATCATTAAATATATCAAATATAAATAAATGAATAAATGGGTAAATAAATGATCAATTAAACCACTAAATAAATCATATACAATAAGTTAGTAGGTAAGTAAGAAAATATATAAATATCCCAGCAAGCCAATAAAGAAATGTTGCCCACCAATACTCAAGAAAGGAAATGAATAAGCTGATCAAGAAGCTAGTAAGCAATAAGCTAATAAATTAGTGGGTATAGCTAAATAGATAAATAAATGAATGAATAAATAAGGCAATAAACAGATCAATTGCCAATAAATCATTAAATAAATATGGATGTGGGTCAGTAAACAGTTACTGGCTAAGTAAGTAAAATCATTATATAGATCTCAATATACTATAAATAAGTAGAGGATAAGCACATAATCAAATAAATAAATGAATAAATAAATAGAACTGGCATGTCAACAAATAAAGTCCATCAATCCAGATTAAAAGGCAATAGATCAATCACCAATAAATAGATCAATCATCAATAAATAAGTTAGTGGGTAAGTACATACGTAGGTAGGTGGGTGGGTGGGTAGGTGGGTGGGTGGGTAGATAGATAGATAGATTAGATATTCATGCCAGCAACTTAGTATGTCAATCAACTCACTGATAAATAAAAATGCAATAAATAAATCAATTAATGAGTAAATAACTCAATCTTTAACTATATCAAGAATATAAATGTTAAGGAGTAATAAGTTAGTGGGTAGGTAAATAGATAAATATCCCAGCAAGCAAATAAAGAAATACCAACCAATATTCAAGAAAGGGAATAAACAGATCAAGTGGCAAGTAAGCAACCAAGCTAACAGTCAAGAAAGACCATAAATAGATCAAGAAGCCAGTAAATAGGTAAATAAACCTATCAGCAAGCAACAGATCAAGAAGTCAATCAATAACTGAGTCAATCATTAAATAAATTAATGAAGAAGACAATAGGTGGACAGATGGATGGATGGATAAAAAAATAAATAAATATGAGTGAAGGAAAACAAATAAAGCCAATAAACAAACTATATACCAGCAACCAAATAATAGACCACGAAGTCAATTAATCATTAACTTGAGTAATTTGATAAATACATTTGTAATAAGAAAACACATGAATGACAAGCCATTAAGTAAAGTCAATCAACAAATAGGCAAAAAAGGCAATAAATAAATTAATTAATTTTAGTGATTGAGTAAATTATAGAAATCAAGAAAACCACGAGTAAATACATAGATAAATAAACAAATCAGTAAGCTAATAAAAATGCCAAGAAGCCAATAAATATATTTACCTACATAGATCAAAAAGCCAAAATCAATAGACCAGAAATCTAATACATAATAAATTCGTATACCAGTTAGGCAATAATTAAATAGATCAAGAAGCCAATCAATAACTGAATTAATCATTAAATAATAGACAATGAATGGATGGATGGAAGAATAAGAATAATAAAATAGATATGCCAGCATATGGCTAAGGAAGCAGAAAATTTCATTTTGATAACTATCCAGTCATCCTACCAGCTAGAAGTCACTATGCCCTTGTCCAGTGTTATGGCTGTAGGTGTAAATGTAGGTGCTGTAAAGCCTGACAGCCTGTGTTCTATCCCAGGAACTTACTGTTCTTGACTACTTTAATAATTCAGCATGTGGTTCACTATCTCACTACAAAAGAAGGCTCTTCACCCCAATAAATGTAAATGACAATTGGGTTTCTTTTGTTTTTACTTACTAAAACATTTCTACAAATATATTGAAAATACCAAAATACAGGCAAATATTTAAGCAGTAAAAATAAATAGCCAGCTTTAATATTGGAGCATGGACTCAGATATGAGATCATGTATTCTTAATACTCTTACTGAAAGAAAGTACAATACCTAAACCTTGCTTCCTAATTCTGAAAACTTCTAACATAACTACTACACTTATTAACTAATTCTGTGGTAATATTGCCATGATGTGGATCTGACTAAGTTAATCAAAGGCAGACATCAGAAGAACAGGCTCTTATACTCACCGCATTCCACAAAGGAAATGTTCCATAATCATTACCCTTTCCTCCTGATTGATATCACTTACAAAATCAACAATGGTACGTGCCATTTGTCAAGACTTGGGAGCTCCATTTTTACACATTCTTATTTCCATATCAACAGGTGCCTATGCCTTTTGTGATCCACGGACATTTCATGCTTTGCTTGCAACAAAATAAAAAATGCAGAAAACAAATTATCTCAAAAAATTTATGAAAAGATATTGTATAATATAAAAGTGCAATTGTGCACTTTCTAGTTAGTATACAGCAGCATCTTTTTATGCATACTAGGTTGGCCTGGAACTTGTAATCCTCTCAAATAAGCCAATTGAGGGCTGGAATTACAAGTCTGTACCAGCATGCCCATTTAAACAATTAGTTTCTATTGAGGATAAGCAATTTTATATGTAATGAGGCCCACTGACTAGATTTCAGAATTATTTTAAGCTCATTTTTTAAAATCATTTTGATCAGACAAGGTCCTATATCATCATAAATCTAGTCAAGGCCTCCATAAAATGCTATTTTTTTTAAATCAAAAGATTACATTACCTTGCATGGTTTATGTTTCTGTCTTAAATGCAGCTATTAGGATTTATAGTCTTGTTATAATACTACAGGGTGGCATTCAGGCTCATGAAACTTCTTAACATTCATTGATGAAATTCTCTTTTCAGTCATCAAGTAATTCGACAAAAGGACATCACCTGATACTGAAATAACATGAACATAAATATACACCTATTTAAGGACTAGATACTGTTCTGCAAAAACAGCATGTCTTAATACATTTTATATAGTATATAATCTGAAATGACACATAAATATGAAGCAGAATGCAATGATGAATAAGAATTGACAAAAAACATCTATTGAACCTTTTCAAAGTAAGTAGATGATAGACATGATGACAAGACTGAAATTTCCAGACAACTCACTTTCTCCAAACAGTTCCCAATACATTAATATCAGTCAAAAATTGAACGGGTCATAAATAAGGACTTAAGTTGAAAAGTAAACATTTTGAATAATAGCATTTGAAATCCTCTTATTTTGGGACAGTGTTTCAAATATCAAAGTCTATAACTCACAATAGTATAGTACTGTATATATGAATGTGAACTAATTTGAATCTCACTGACTTCCTTTCCTAATGTTGGAGCACACAAATGCAACTTACTTATATTTCTGAAGAATAAAACCTCATGGCTTCGTGCATGCTATTTACAATGTTCTTTTTCCACCCAGTGGTGGTACATGACTTTAATTTTAGCACTAGGAAGACAAGTATATATCTGTGTTAAAGGCTAGTGTGGGCTACAGTGTTTCAGGACAGACAGGGATATAGAGAAACCCTGTCTCAGAAGAAAGGAAGGTGGGAGGCAGGAAGAGAGGAGAGGATGGGTAGAGAGAAATGGAAAGGAAAAATTAAATGACTGCAAAGATATTTATGGAGTCAGATCAGTATACATACTAATCTACTAATCTGTCAGAAACCTAGTGAGTAATTGTTTTTGGAAATCAGCAGTCATTAAAAATTACAATGAAGGAGGCTGGAGAGAGCTCTTAACCTTTGAACCAAGAGCTCTTCCTGAGGTCCTGAGTTTTATTACCAGCACCCACATTTTGGCTCAAAACCATCTGTGATGAGATCTGGTGCCTTCTGGCCTGCAGGTATAAATGCAGGCAAAACATATAAAGTCTTTAAGAATTATAATGAAGTGGGTAATGGCAGAAATGTCTGTAATACTAGGACTTAAGAGGCTGAGAAATAAGGATGAGAGCTTATGGTCATCTTTGCCTATAATGTGTCTGAGGTCATACTGTTACATGAGACCCTATATCAAATTCCCTACCTTGAACATCAGAAGTACATACAATTACCTTGAGTAAAGGGTAATCATGAAATTCCCAGAATATAGGCAAAAAATAATGGTACTGTCTTTAGAATGATATCTTTAAAAGCTGAACCTCTAACAATCAGGGTATCATATAAAAGAAAAGGGGGGGGCTACCTTTAGGTCATGAATCAGACAATAGACTTTCTTCCAATATGCTGTTACCACTAATGCACAAATCTCAGAGCCTCCTGTTACCAGCCTCTGGAATGTGGGAGATGACTTAGCAAGTCTTCTAGGCCTGACAGTGAAGTTACATTATTTAACAAGACCATCAGCAGTCCTGACACTGGAAATATCACAAGACACCACACAGATGGAGAACTACCATAGACTAAGAGGATGAATGAGTTGTCTCCAGAGAAAAGGTACAATAGTGACTTTACACCAAGTGATTATCCTAAGCAGATATACATACAAGCATGAAATGGACCCAGTACATGGGATATGGAATTTCTTCTTCTGTGTGTGTGTGAGAGAGAGAGATTACAGAATGTCAAGAAATTAGGCATGTTTGGAGTCTAAGAGAAGAAAAGAGTGAAGGTGAGGTGGAAAAGATGGAAATAAAATCACCATGCATTATTTTTAATTAAAAAATAGGTAATTCACTCACCATTACAAACCACTTCCCATGGTAAAACAGCCTTTTTTCTTTGTTGGCTAATTAAAATTAAATTTATCCATAAAAAATTCCTTTACTTACAACTCAAAGACATCATGTGTTCCCTCAATGCTTGTAGTCAACAGCACACTATTAGTGATGACACAAACTTAATATGAATTTCAGTGTGCCATATCAAGCATGCCGAACCTGTATCCCGATGTCCAGGCTCTAACACTTATTTACGATCAGTAGACTGAAGCTTACCATAATAGATTTAATTCCCAGATCAGGTCTTCCATAAGACACTGATACCAACAACTGTAAACCCTAATCAACTGAAGCAACCCCTTTTTCAAAAGCATTAACTTGGATTCCAAATGTTTTAACTAATGATCATAAAAGACATACCACTGCCAAAATTTCTTTAAGTTAATTTAATTATATCTGATTAAGTATCTCCACATACCTTTAATTATGACATATTAAAGTGACCACAGTGCCATGTTAATTTTAGCAAATCACAATCTTACTTTAAGATTAAGCAGCATGTTAATGCAGGAAGTGTCAGGAATCAGTAAATAACATTACAACCATTTTATCCAAAGATACTAGCTTGTGTAAATAAACTACACGCCTGCTTTTACCTCTTTCACAATAAAACATTAGTTTCACTCTGACTTTAACAAAATCAGACAAAAGAAGCCCTCAATTCAATTGCTCTATGTATTTATTAGCTATAATTAATGCAGTAAGAGGGGTCAAAAAGCTTGCATGCTACACAATTTCACAAGATGCAATGCAGGGAAAAATAAAGGCTGATATTTATCAACCATCTTAGGGTCTTGGTGGACGCATTCCTGGGGGAGGTGGGCCTAGAAAGGAAAAATAATAAAATTCTATTGAAGTTATCAAGAGCATATAAATATTAGAGGATCTGATGTTATTCACAGGCCCTGACCTCTAATTCCTGGTGGAGGGGGTCTCATTCCTGGAGGGGGCATGCCTATAGGTGTCCCTCGAGCAGGGGGAAGGCCAATCGGTGGGCCCATGGGTGGTCTCATACCAGGTGGAGGAGCCATGATTCCTGAAAAAAATAAATAAACCCTCCTTAGGTCAGCTCATTAAATAAAGCTCTTATGGTGTAGCACAAAATAGTGGTTCCAGAAATGAGTCAAGTGTGTGCATGAGAAATTAAGTTCCTTATCCTGTAATACAGAGTGTCATCCTAATTCCAAAGAATCTAGTCTTTCATTTACGAACTACCAATGACAATATAGCTTCAAACCCTGTGATCTAAAACGGCCTGACAGAAAGATACACTGGTAAATAGTCGCAAAGATCAAACAAGGCCCTACAGAGACAACAGTAGTAGAATCCAGAACCTGTACAGGTCTAAGGCATGTGGGCATCCTAGCACTGAGAGTCATAGACACACGTTCCCATACCACCCCAGGAGTTATTCCCCATTGAAAACCACTTACACAGGAAAAAATTTAAGAGGCTCAATAGATGTACCAACCACTTAAAACAGGTGCCATGCCCAATAATAGATGCCCACACTGAACTGATTAATAGAATTGAGGGTTTGCTTCAAGAAGCTTTGTCTGAACATCACAAATTTCTAACTTCATAGAATGCTTGCTTATAAATTATGGTTTCTGTCTTTGTTCTTAAGGGTTTGCTTCTTGTACTTTTCCTTTAGCTATTTGTTTATATTTGTTTGATTTTCAGTCCTAATTGGGTTTGTTTTAATTTTCCTTACTTTATTCTAAACTACTTGAGATGTCTGCTCGTATTCTAGTCAGAAGAAATATTGTCAATTTGGGTAGGTGGGGAAGTACGGAGGTGCTGGGGGTAGAAACTAGCAGAATACGTTGCATTAGAAAAGCTATATTCAATAAAAGTGTACAACAATAAAACTAGTAGAATAGTTCCTAAATTTTTAGCAAGGCAAAAAAGAAATGTCTTAGATCAATCACAGTACGTGGAGATGTTATTTCCTCAAAATGATAGACTCTGGAGGAAATCCAAATTTGTTGTAAAGGCCTTACCTGGTGGTGGGGTTGCTCTGCCTACAGGTGGAGGTGGAGTTCCACGTCCTGGCGGGTACTGGGTTGGAGCTCCAGCAATGCTGGCAGTGGCAGCAACTGCAGCAGCTGCTACAGTGCCTCTTCCCTGTGGAGTCATGACCTGAAAAGTTACGCCAAAAATACAAAGAGATGAGGGATGCAATTGCTTTACAATACATAGAAAGAAATAGTGAATAAGTCCTATTACAGATATAATTGCTGTATCTTGTTACTTATATTATTCTTTTTAATTTGATGAGGAATAAATCCAGAAGTTCTTATATGCTATGCATATTCCTGCTGAGCTGCAGTTCCAGGCTCTAGTTTGTTTTGTTTTATGGGTGTACATTTGGGGAGGTTTCTTTTGTTGTTACTTTGGAGACAGAGTCTTTCTATGTAGTCTTGACTATAATCCTGAACTCCCTCCAGAATTCAGACATCTACTTTCACCCTCATGTTTTTAAATCTTGACATATTGCTGTTTTATAATCTTTTGATTTTTCTTGACCTGGCATTTACAGATGGATATTTCATTACTCATATCAATTCAAAGTGTCTTAGTTATCAAGTATTAGTCTGCTCCTTAATATATTTGAGTATCAGGTCTTTCTAGAACATATAAAATTTAAATCGTATAGATATAGCTTTCGGGTTCCACATCTTCTCCGTCTATGCTCTAGTCATATTCTATCATTAATAGCAAACCTTGTTCTGGTCCTACCTGCTGGGATGGACCTCCAACTCCTCGGACAGGGCCTGCTAATCCAGCAGGAGCTTGAGGAATAGGTACACCAGCTGGTACTCCTCTGCCAGCTGCCCTCCCTACCCCAGGGCCACCTGCAGCGCCAGCAAGTGGCACCCGAGCAATACCAGTCTGAAACAAAAATGTTTAGCTTAACTTATCCGTTTTGTTCAAATACAAGTGATTTTTACCAAAGGAAGTAGTTCTCAATCATGTTACAATCTAATTAGCTCGCATTAGCTCCATATGCAAACAAATGTGATGGTAATAAATACTTCTGAGTGCCCTCTAGATTTGGGATATATACTTTCAAACTGAGAACTGGTAATTCCTTGACCACTTCCTTCCCAATAAAAAAAATAACTTCTATCTTCTGATTTGGTAACTCTTGCATTCACTCTACCTTGTAATAGAAGTAGCATGTTGCTGACAGAATATTAGCATTGTTTGGGTAAATTGAAATGCATGTCCTCTTAATACACTAGAAAGAGGAATTAAAGTACACAGGTCCCAGTCTAAAGTTAAATTTCTGTTGTGAATTTTTTCACATGTGAGAGGGTCTCCAGTTTGTCAAGTGATTGGACCACTATACTGTGTGTTTGCTAACCATTGACTGCAGCCTCCCCAAAAGCACTGTGAAAATGTTATTTTCTATGTAACTGCAGGATAACATAAATAAAACTACATTTTAATTTTAATAAAGTCATGCTTATCATAACTTAGGGAGTACCCAGAATGTTTGTGAAATCATAAATATTCTTCCTAAAGTATACATCTGAACTGTTGTACTAAGTACAACCACATTTTGATTACATGTATAGTATTTCTCCATATACCCTGCTAAGATATTAAGTCAAAGTACCATGAGCTTGCATAATTCATGTATGAAGTAAAAAAAAATCTAAGATCAGAAACATGGAAATCTTGCCCTACATCATCCTTACATCTTTTGGAGGTGGACCCTCCACAGTCATTGAGACCAAGTTCTCTCCACGTAGCAAGACCAGACCCAAAACCCGCTTTTCTTCACGCTCCGGCTGTTTTGCATTCTTTGGCCTATAAATCAGAAGTAAATAAACATCATTAAAATAAATTTGTGATCCTTACTTATCAAAGGAAACAATTAGACAAAAATCTTTTTGGTATGCCTCTTATGTAAACTGCAATTTAATTGCCTAATTACTCTGTAGGCTTTATTAACTTGCATAATTTTCATGTCTGCTCCCTTGATATACAGATATCCAAAATGATGTTCTGCTGCAAAATATAGATGCAAATGATAGGACAAAGCCTTTAATGTAAGTGAAAGTGAAGCCCTATTAAGTGCATTAAGATTATAACCAAATACTATTGGCATCAGATTTGACAAAATAAGTGGTATTTTTGCCAACATTATTTGTATGCAATGACATGAATTCAATATAAGGATCTGATCCAAATCTGAAAGATTCGGTAACAACCGCATGGCCACCCCCAGCTTCTTTATCTAATTAATTCAGTCCTCCTATCCAATCTTATTACAGCACCCGCCTCTCAATCCATGACCCAAACAAGCCTTACTTGATCTTCCTGAACTCATCACAATCACAGAGAATCAGATTCATATGCTTGTCAAAAGCCTTAAAGGTGCCAATGAAGATTCTTCCATCTTGCAGGATACATCTCATTCTATAGTCAATGTGCTGCAGCATCTTGCTACTCTTACCCACAGTCTGCAATCAGTAAAGGAACATCAATGGAAAGTTCATGTCTTTCCGTTTCCTTTTTACAAAGTCTCCCTTTATTTCTTCTCTATTTTCTAAATACTGATCAAGTAGATTAAGAAAACTTTACATAGCTCTGTACTTCTCAGAATCCTAAGTAGGACCCATACCATCTAATAGTTATGAATCTTATTTTTAAAATAGAAATCCCTGACTTAGTTCTCCTTTGAGTTGTCAGCACTATTTTTATGCATTCTTTCCATCAAATGACCATAACTTCAAATAGAGCACCTGTCCCTATAAACTATTTTTTGTAAACTTAAAAAAAACTATCTCAGTAAAAGTTCTAATAACCCCAACTACATGAAATCATGATCACCCATTAGTTCTCCAAAGGGCTTCCAGATCCAACACATCAGTATCACTATTGTTAAAATCTTTTGGTATTTTTTTAAGCACTGAACATGCGACAATGGTGATTATCCTGAGCTCTTATTCTTCCTATCTACCACCCAAATGCTCTGGTTTCAGGTCTTTGCTAATCTGTGTCTGACACCTTCAGGTTCACAATCCCTCATCTACCTCTTTTTGATATTAACAGACACCAGCAATTTCCAAGGAGTCTGTATGCTCTGCAATTGGATCTATGAGTCCTTAGTCTGTAAGGTGGTTCCTTAAGGTTATACTCACTAAAATCTAAATGATAAAAAGATTAATTAAAAAAGAATTGATAAGCCACCCCTCAGTATTCTCTCCAAAGGTTTTGAAGAGTATTAACAGGAATGAACATCTCTATAAATGAATCCCTATTTCTAAATTTTACAGCCTCAAAAATTATACAATGAAAAATTGTGGTTACTACAGCAGCTATCCAAATCTGTAATGTACAACTCACCATGATTGCTGTTCACAATAGATGCTTCAATAGTAAAATTTCAATAGCTTTAACACTTTGGGGAGGGCTATAAATAAAGGTGTGATGCAGGTTTGCTTAGATACAATGTATGCTTGACTGGTGCTTTAAAGATCGTGGACCGGTCCTGCAGAGGGAAGAAAATTACAACTGTACTTCACTCTACTATGGTTTAGAAATAGTATTGCTTCATATCTAACAAAGAACTAATTTATCTTTCATCTTAATACTCGTTTAACCTACAGGATCTATGAAATGAAAACAATTGGCTACCAATATTGCTAAGCGTTCCTGGTTGTATATGTCAGTAGATTTATTTTAGTGGCCAGATATCAACGCTGACTAACTTCTAGCTAACATGTAAACCCGTAACTTAATTACGCTCAAGACATACATTGAGTCTCTGGCTTCTAAGCAGTGATTTACAGAAATATTCTATGCATCCCAGAATTTAAAAAAAATTAAAAATGTGCCTGGTGCTCAAAGTCAGAAAATGGCATCAAAGTCCTAGGAACTGAAGCTACAGTTACTTGAGCCTCCATGTGGGTACTGGAAACAAAACCCAGGTCTTCTGCAGAAACCAATGAGACATCTCTCGAATCACTGTTACTAGGGTTTTTATATAATTGCTTAGAAAACCAGGTCTTCTGTTTTGGAAGGAAAGCACATTTTTAAAATATTTCTCAACACTATACATATTTCAGAAACACCTACACTTTTTCATCCCTAAATTTAATCAGTGTCCTATTTATTTCTTAGTTCAAAATTATATTTTCATTTAACATGTCTAAAATTATAGGCTCCCTTTACAATTTTAGGAGACAAGTATGACAATAATCAGCAACCTCGGGCATATGGTTGCAATCAGTATATTCAGAATGATGAAGCAGAAGTTCAATAGCTAGATGGCAAACAGTTCAAAAAGTAAATGTAAAATACAATTACAAGCTTGGAATACAGCTTGCAAGATAAAGCATAAAATTTGATAGTATTTCCTCCTAGCCTGGAATTTTAATTCCTTTCCTTAGCCTTTTCTGTCTTCTAGGATCCCAAGGCCACTCTGCCCAGTTTTAACTAGAAGTTTAAATGAGAATCTGCGGAGTTTAACCATGAGAGTAGAAACAGAGAATAGGTTTCACAAAGTGTAAGCCCATCCTGAATCTGCATTCATCTTATTGTCTCAGCCTATCCACTGCTCAAGTGAGATTATCCCTTGAACTTTTAATCTTCATGCCATCCTGAGGAACTAGAACAGAAAAGTGACATAGCATCCTGGAGGGATGAGAAATATCACTCACACTAAAAATATTCTAAAAACTTCACTTTCTAAAAATATGTATTTTTTGTGCAGTGGTAGCTCATGCCTTTAATCCCAGCATTCAGGAGGCAGTTTAAAGTTTGAGGCCAGCCTGAGTGAGTTCCAGAACAGGCCCCAAAGCTACAGAGAAAATTTGTCTTTAAAAAAAAATCATGTAATTGTAGTTACATGGGGATGATGTTACTCACAGAAGCCACACTGCATCAAATTGTCAAGTGTGAAATAAATACGTCCCCTCTTTGAGTTAGTGCAGTCTGGTGGCAGATTCCCCATAAATAATATAGCCCATTGCAATATGTTTCCCACCAGAACTTGGTGACAAGTCTGATTGTTGAAGATACCAGAGTTTTTATTTACAAACTGGAACCAAGTCAGAAGCTTCCTAACTTCTGGCTAGTTTTCAATATCAGAAGGTACTGTACAGGAAGCTGGTGAAGTCAGTGTTACCCATTTGTGAATCCTGTGCTCTACAATAACAATCAGATGGGTAATACAACGGTGGCATGAATGTTATGTTCGTATAGATGTTATGCTAGTATAAATGAATGACATTCTAAATTAAATGTAGAATTTTAAAAATTGAATAATTCATTTTCTAGACTTCTGAGACAATCTAAAGGAATTCATAATGTATATCTGGTCAACATGGAACTCAGAGATTCACCTATGTAAGTCATCCAAGTGCTGAGTAGTTTAAAGGCATGCAACACCATGCCCAGCTAAATTGACTACATTTTAAAAACTGAAAACAGCGTGGAGAGATGGCCCAGTGGGCTGAGAGCTTCCTGCTATGATTTTGCAGAGGACCCAAGTTCAGTTCTCATAATCCACATGACAACTTATCAGTATCTTTCTCCATCTCCAGATCCAGGGGATTCTGATGCCCTCTCCAGCCTCTGCAGTTTCCTGAAAACACACACAATGTTTATTTTCAGTAATAAATAATTGAAATTCATACTCACTTCACAGGGAGGGCATGCCAAGAACCCCACAGCTGAGGAGAACAGATGGGCTATTGGGGAAGCTACAACTTCTATTTTTGACATAGTATCAAAGTCCCACTAAATATTTCATCTCATACAAATAGAGTATTCATTTCTCACCTTTTATCAGAGAAACTTCTTTACAGACGATAGTGGCCAATAGGCTTGTAATTGTTCAAAGTGCTCAAAATAAATGACAGTAGGGTGCTCAGTCCTAAGTCTTATCACACCCCACCACCACCCTGTCTGAGAAGCCATCACAGAAGGGATAAAGTCCTCAGAGGACTTCTGGGAAATCGTGTCTTCTTTGCATTGCAGGGTTGCTGCACTTATGAACTCTTATAGTAAGTATATACAGATGCATGTACAAGACTGAGCCAATCAACAGTCCAACATTGATGGGGTGGGCTCACGAGACTCATACTTTTCTTACATGCCGACAAAAAATGGTAAAGATGTCAGTACTTCAGTGATACAGCTCACAGCCCAAATCTCCCTGGCTAGCACTAGGTGAACGCAGTTAGGGACTTAACTTAAAAATTCAAAAAAAAAAATGGAAAAGCAATTTAAAAGGAGCACTAGATAGAAGGTTCAAGAGAAGTTAAGAGTTGGAGCTGGATATGGTTTAAATGAACTGTGCACATATATGAAGATCACGAAGAATGTGGGGTAAAGTGGCACAGCCCGTGAGGCAGACAGATGATATAGGTCTTTGAGTCTGAGGACAACCTGTTCTACACAGGTGTCCTGACAAATCAATTAGAACCTGTCTACAAATAAATCAAGAATAGAGATTACTCAGTAGTTAAGAACAGTGGCTGGTCTTCCAGAAGATCAGCTTCAATTTCCAGCACCTACATGGCAGCTCACAACCACATGTTAACTCCATTTCCAGATCTGATACTCTCTTTTTTCCACACATGATACATAGACATAAATGCATGCAAAACACCATAAACATAAAGTTGTAAAACCTAGAACTAAAACACAAGTGTTAAGGCCCACACTTTCAGTCCCAGAATGTTTTAATCGTTCAACCCATCCTGTTTCAGAGTGAGTTCTATCAAGGGTGCATAGTGAGATTCTGTCTCAATAAATAAATAAAACCTGAAATAATTATAGTATTCATAGCATATAATTTCAATATTTAGGTCGTAAGGCTTTCTTGCCAGAGTGAATCCATGATTTCAAAGGGCAGATGGAACACATGAAATGAAATAGGCTAAATATAAATATAATCATGTGGAAATGTTCTTACAAATTAATTTGGGGCATAAATACGTCTCAGCAGGTAATACTACTAGCTTGAGGGGGCTGGAGATATGGCTCAGTGGTTAAGAGCACTGGCTGCTCTTCCAGAGGTCCTGATTCAATTCCCCAGCAACCACATGGTGGCTCACAACCATCTGTAATGCTATCTAGCGCCCTCCTCTGACGTGCAGGCATACATAGAGGAAGAATGTCATATACATAATAAATAAATAATTCTTTTAAAAGAATACTAGCTTGAGCTGGAGCTATGGTTCAGCTGTTCAGAGCACTGGCTGCTCATCCAGGTCCTGAGTTCAACTTTCCCAGTAACCATTTGGTGGCTCACAAACACCTGTAAGGAGTTCTGGTGATACATGAAGCTAGAACACCATACACATAATAAATGAATATATCTTTTTAAAAAAGAACATGAGCATGCCCTACACAGGACCTGAGTTTAATTTTAGACATCAAAGTCTGACACTTATTTACAAGTCTAGTGTTGAGGAGACCTGAGGCCCTGCTCTGGACTCTATATACATGGTACTTTAGAATCAGATGGTGGTGGCAGAGTCTTTATTCCTAGCACTTGGGAGGTCCCAGGCAGGTGGACCTCAGTGAATTTGTGGCCAGCTGGCCTACAAATGAGTTTGAGGCCAACTTGGATTGTTATACAGTGAAACTCTGTCTCAAAAGAAAAACATAAAAAATAATAAATAAATGCTCATTGTATAAAATTGCTGTGTGTCTAGTCCTGGTGTATATAAAGTCTTTTTTAAAAAAAGGTCATTATGTATATAGAGCTCTTAAAAAAAGGTAACTGCATCAATTAAACTCTAGATACCCTATTGTTTGCTTTTCCTTTGGAACTCTAACCTGTTTTTCCTTGACTTCCACCTTCTTGATGTCTTGGTACTGCTTTAACCACCTCTTGGTGTCTCAGCTAAGAAGGCCTGCCTCAGTTCTGCCTGGAAGTCCACCACAGGAACCTGCTGCTGCTGCTGAGCGCGGCGTGGGTACAGGTGGCACCTGGGGCAAGAGCACAATAGTTTTACATCAAAGACATTCATCTATGTAAATAGCAGTAAGAATGAAAAGAGACACTTTTATTCTATAAGAGTCTAGTTTTATAAAAGGTCACCAGAAAAATGCTAACATATTTTAAGATAGCCATTTATAACATTGTAGTTAGGTAGTATATGAACCAAAAAGGGAACTTGAAGCCAAACAATCAAGCAAGCAAACCAATTGATTAGCAAGCTAATAATTAAACGGATCCATCAAATAGTTAAAGATGGCGATAGAGAGACAGATAGACCAGCAAGCCAATAAATCAAGGAGTCAAATACTCAGTTAATCAGTTAAATCAATCAATATATCAGAAAGTCATGAATATATAAATTATGAATAATGAATAAATGGATAAGTAGGTCAGCAACTCAATCAACAGATTAAGAATAAAAGAATGTGTGCATAGACCAGCAAGCCAAGAAATAGATCAAGAAGCTAGTCAAATCAACCAATAGCCCAGGAAGCCAATAAAGAAATAGATTGATAAATCAATCTTTTAATCAATTAATCAATAAAGAACAGCAAGCCAAATAGATATATAAATAGGTAAAGAAGTCAATAACAGACATTCTAAAAAATAAATCAATATTTATACATGTGATATGTGAATATACATTTAAAATATTGAGCCATTCTCTGAGTATGTGATCATAAGATCATACTTTGCTTTGTGATGATGTCAAGGGCAGCATAGACTGTCTAAAAACAAAAACAATAAAGTTTGTATAAAGTAATGTCTCATCAATGCAGAAAAAAGCATTTATATGAACAGAAAATGAGCCAGGCAGTGGTGGGAGCAGAGGAAGGCAGATCTGTGTGTTCAAGACAGGCTGGTTACTAAAATTACTCCTTTCTTGAACATAAAATAAAAAATAAGTTACTAAAATCATTGCTTTGTGAATAACAGGTATTTATAAAGTGAATAAAATTCTAAAGGTAAAACTCACATGTGAGGAAATAAAAAGCACTTGCATAGAATTTATGAAGCTCTAAGTTTAATTCCTGCTCGGCCAAAAAAAAAAAAGGGAAAAAAGGAAGCGACACTTTTAAAATTGAAATGTCAGGGGGAAAGTCAAATTATGAGGAAAAGCAGTTAAAGAGCCATGTGTCGTGGCACATGTTTTTAATTCTAGCACTCCTGTGCCAGAGACGGACTCTCTGCAAGTTCAAGCCAGCCAGGGCTGCACAGACAGAACCTGTGCAAAAAGAATGAATTAAATAAATGATAATGTTGACTTAAGTTAGAATACAATTAAAGTTTCCTCAATATTTTTGTTACAGCTTCTGCATTGGGTATTCCATTACGTCACTGTAATCTCTTCTTGTACGCTGCTTTTGTGATTTGGTTCATAACCCAGACTTTACATACTCTTGATTGCTCAGTGAGGCGGTCCGTCTACGCTTGACCTGGACTTCCACCTCTGGCACGTGCTGTTCAGTAGTTCTTCTCAGGTGTAAGCGATCCCTGAAACAGAAAAAGAACAATTTAATAAATGTATTAGTTTATGAAACAATTTTATTTAAATTGATGATTTATGATTAAGACCGGTTCATAGATTTCTTGCCTAGGAAGCGGGAAGCCCCGCCTTCAATTCCCATCAGAGGATCATCAGGGGTGGGAGCACAAGCCTGAAATCTCAGCCCTAAGGAGGTAAGACAGGGGGACCAAACTCAGCTACCTACAGTCTAAGCTACATGAAACCTTCCATTAATAAAATAATACAGCATCGATAAAAATGGCTCATTATATAAAGCTTAATTGCCAGCCACTAATACAAACATGACAATCAATGATTGATCCCTGGTCCTTGAAAAGGTAGAAGAGAACCTACGCCATAAGATCACGTGGACTTCTACATATGTGTCATAGCATGTGTGCTGCCCTCCCTGTGACAGACACACATTAACCACCATGTAAAGGTAGCTGTCTTGGAATTTATAAATAGGAGGTTTGCTTAAGCAAAATTCTATCAACTAGCTGGGAGCACTTCACAAAATGGCCGTGCAGTCAACCCGCATGAACAGGGTGGCCATCTTAGGAACTATGGGAAATGTTCCTAAGACAGAAATTAGACATATGAAACCAAGAGACAAATGGAAAGGCTTTTGACAAGTCAAGAATGATTCTCAAGAAATGAATCGGAATTCCAATTTTCTGAATCCTATCTATATTTAAAAGTAGCGAAATTTTTAGATTAAGCATTTTAACAATAATTCAGTTATTTTGATGTTTAGAACTGGAAATGCCAAAACATCCAAATAAAAAATTAAAAAAACATGTTAAGATTTCCACCATGATAAAATTATAAACAAATCAAATAAACTGAATTTTAATTAAGGTTGCATAGTATGATGAAACATACCTGATACTAAGGCCAAATTCCTACAGGTATTAATAACATGGACTGCAGAGTGGTATAGCACCCAAAAGAAAAAACTTGGTAAATTACATAATTGATTGAAATCCAATTTTTAGGGCAAAACAAAACATAATTAGAAAATAGTGGAGCTGGACCTTTCAGGAATGATGAATAAATATTCATGGCATTCCAGGTGGCAGGCATACCTCAAAGCAAAATAGTTCTTACATCTTTTAATTACATACATTAAAAAATTATAAAAAGCTGCCTTTTCAATGGGTTTCCTAATAACATATTTAGTTGGCCAATCAGCATGAAATACATGTTATGTCATTAATAAGAGAAATAAAATCTTACATACTGTGAGATATCACTTGATAATGACAGCATGCATGATGCAGGGAAATTTATAAAAATGCAAAGCTGTACTAAGTCTTGAATAATTAATAAAGGCCCAGTGACATCAGACTAGTGAACCTGCAATTCTCCTGCAGTGATGGAAGAGTAAACACCAACCCAGGATCACATATATCCTCACTCATAGTGTTGTTAGTAACTGCCAAAAAGTGCTAACATTTTAAATGTCTACTAAGGACAAATAAAACCAGATATGATCATTTACACTACAGTACATTCACTTACACAAAGGAAAGTGGAGAATTGATCGAGGTTGTAATAGAAATCTATTTGATAATTTAATAGTCTGAGACAAAAGTCTCTCATGTATCCTAAGTTGTCTTAAAACTTACTGAAGCTAAAGACGTCATTGATCTGATTCTATAGGTGAGTGCCAGCAGAATGATTTTCTAATTGTTGGATAGAGTTAATAACATCAAATTATAACCCCAAAGAATAGTGTCAAAAAAATCTGTAGTTTATTACCATTTCCTATGAGTTCCTCAGTATGAAAAAGGCTCAGTTTAGTCATCAATACAAAAATATTTTATTACTTCTATTTTCTAAACCTAACTTTTATATATAAATCATCTAAGTTTATTTTTGAAAATGATGGTTTAGTGCAAATGTAGGCATTCATATCAAAAATGGCATTTTATAAAATGACTAATTATGCCAACATGCGTATAGGGAAAACTTAAATGTGAAGGAAAATTTGTGCATAGCATTAATTTTTTATGGCAAACCACTGTCCACTGTCACCAGCAAATTCTATTTCGGATATAAACTTCAAATTAGAAGCTAACTACTTAGGACAGAAACATAGGAAGTCAATCATAATCAAATGTATCTGATTCAACATTTACAAAATGGTGGGCCAAAATAGGCAGTTCATGAAGACACAAATAAAAATTGAGTCAAAACATAGTAGAAGCAGTATATTCCTAAAGCCTAACAAAAACTTAATAACCTATATTCCATACAATTTTGTAAAAGTAATTTTTCACACTGCCTGAAGTATGGCACCTGACGTATGAAGATCACAAGTTCATGGGCAACCTGGTTACAGAGACTGTCAGAAGAAACAAACAAAAAGTAAATTAATAATAAAACAAAGTTAATCTAAATTTACCTTTGTAAAAATTACAACTATATATACTATCTACTCATAGTGGTGAAGGAAAACAAGATCTAAAAATAAAGCAAGTACATAAAAATCCTGGAAAAAATATTTAAATGTAAAAACTTCAATCCAAGCGCAGTCACTCACATCTGTGGTTCACTGGAAAAAGGGGGTGGATCACCAGCTCCAGGGCAGCCTGAGATACATACCATATCTGAAATAAATGTGGATTACAGAGCAATCCTGTCTCAAAATTTAAAAACAAGTTTAATAAAATAAACAAAGCAGGTATTTGGTTCATTATTCCTTCATATTTTCAGAGTAACTTCAATTTCAAAAAATCGTGAAAATCATTAACTTAATACATCCATAAAAATTATCCCTGGGGAATAACTCTGAAGCCATGTACTAAGAGAGATTAAACTACCAAATCATTAAAAATGGATGACAAAATATCACATTAAGGCAACTGTTAATTTTTAAACCTGGAAAATAGAAATCAAAGAGAATACGCAAAGCCACAAGCTGTTTTATGAATTATTGAATCTGCCTTAAAATTAAAAAATCTGACTACATTCAGAACAGTAAAAAGTATTAAAAATACGTGATCATTAATAAATTCAAATATAAATTCATCCTACCCAGGAGGGAAGGCATCACCAACAGGTTGAGCTGACCTGTAATGTACAACCATTCTACTGTGAAACAGATAACGAAGACGCTTCCTAACACACAGGAATAAGGAATACGTCATACAAGCCTCTAGCCTCTATTATCTCCCCTCCCCCCACATGCCTTCCATTCCTTAAGGTAATAGAAAACCCAGGACCAAGCCTGTGAGAAAGAACCTGCGCAAACCAGCCCCCCCCCCTCATTGCGACACTGCAGGGAGGGGCAAAGAAGCACTGTTAATGCAGCAGGTTAGGAATATGGCTGCCAGGTTCTCCACGCCAATACTGCGCCATCCCTCCGTCTACTCCCTCCCGGCCTCCATGCTGGCGGAGGTGCGTGTCATCTCTACCTCATCTGGTTTTCCTGTGCCCACCGCAAGACGCTGAGGGTGGGAGAAGACACGCGAGGGAGGCTCTATCCATGCAGTCCTGAGAAGAGGGTGTGGCTGCAATTCCAACACTGCAGAACTGACAAGCAGGTGGCTCGCCCGGTGACAAGCACCAAGGTGGGGAGGGGTCTACTCCCCCCCCCACCATGTCGCGCCTGCGCACACCAGCACCACTGCAGCAGCGGCCATCTTTAGGGACGCTCACAATGGCGTTTGACACTGGACACGACCCCCTTGATAATACTAAGACGTGCAAAGATTCAATCCCGAATGCCAGAAAAAAATAAAAATAAAAAATAAAAATGGTCTTGTCGCTGCTACTGTTCCTGGCTTGAATTATAGCAAGTTTTTTATACATTTCATACATTAACCCCTGCAGTGAGGGGTGTTTAGTGACGACCAAATAAACAAGAAAACATTGCGGCTTTCACCACTCATTCTCCGCAGGCAAGGAATGACTCTATAAAAGGAACCAATACAAACACAATATACCACTGATTAGCAGAGACAAGAAAATTTTAAAAAAAAAAACCCACCCTGGAAACGTTGGTCTGGCCGTCCATAAAGGTCCGTTCCCACCCCTCCCCCCTAGCACTGGATCATTCCACAGATCCACTCCTGCAGACCCCCCCACACGAGGGCCACACCCTAGCAGAACCTCTGCGCTCCTGGGGTCCTTCCCATGGCCCTGTGCCCCTGTAACCACCTGCACCCACTCAGTCTCCAAACCACCCTGATTAAAAAGCACTCTGACCAGCTACAACCTGACCACGCCATCACTTCTCTGAGCCACAAGTATCTTCTTGCCACAAAACCATCTGCACACTGAAACAGTTGCAGTGGTCACCGGGCAAACCACCGACTAGCCGCAGTCTGTGCTCACCTTCCCCCAGCGCCGCAGATCGCGGGCCCTGCTCCCCTCCCCCTGCCCTGTGCCGCTGACCGCGGAGCCCCTGCCTCACGTTGCCCCGCCCTGTACCGCAGTCAGGGGTCCTGCGCATCTTTCGACCAGTGAGTGCCGCGGCCTCAGATCGCAGAACAAGCTCATCTTCCCCCCAGTGCCGCAGTCGCGGACCCTGCTGCTCCCCTCCCCCAAACCCGTGCCGCAGTCCTGGAAGCAGCGCATCCTTTCCCCAGTGACGCGCATCGCGGACCCTGCTCCCCTCCCCCCAACACTGTGCTGCGGTCATGGATCGGCTCATCTTTCCCCAGTGCCGCGGATCCTAATACTAGGCATCCTTTCCCAAGTGCCGCGGTCTCTAATCGCCGGCACTGCTCATCTTTCCCCAGTACCAAGGCTGCTCACCATACCTCGTGGACAGGGCTCCTCCACCCCCACGTCTTGCCTCGTCCAAGGACCGTGGTCACCTTAACTAGGGCCGCAACAGGAGATCGTAGACCCTGCTCCCCCCGCCCCCACCCCGACTGTGTCGCAATCAGGGATCCTGCTCACCTTCTCCTAGCGCCGTATCCGCGGACCATGCCCACCCTCTCCAAGGGACCGATCACGGACCCTGCTCCCCTCCCCCCTACCCTGTATCTTAGTCATGGACGCTGCTCACTTTCTACTAGTGCCGCATCCGCGGACCGTGGTCACCTTCCCCCAGGGCCGCGGCAACAGATCACGGACCCTGCTCCCCTCCCCCGCCCTCTGACGCAGTCATGGATGCTGCTCACCTTCCCCAGTGCCGCATCCGCGAACCGTGATCACCTTCCCCCAGGGCCGCGGCAACAGATTGCGGAACCTGCCCACCTTCCTCCAAGTGTTTGGATCACAGACCACCGTGCTCACATTCCCCCAGGGCCGCGGATCGCGGACCCTGCTCTCCTCCCCGGCCCTGTGTCGCAGTCATGGATCCTGCTCTCCTTCTCCCAGTGCTGCATCCGCGGACCGTAGTCGCCTTCCCCCATGGCCGCGGCAAGAGATTGCGGACAACCGCGGACAACCGCGGATGACCGCTGCAACCCTGCCGCAGCACGGCTCCCTCACCCCGGAGCCCAGTCACTGGTAACGCCTTACAGCTCAGACCTGACATTACCCCCTCCACACCCATCCAAATGAGTCCGTCTAATCGGTCTAAAATATTGGTCTCCGATTCTCAAAAAGAAAATCTCCCAAATCTAGAATGTTTTGGGAAAAACGCAACAGCCTCACAACGAAAAGTGCCACGGGTCCAGCTGACCTTCCTCGCTCCATCGCGTTACGAGTGGCTCCTCAGAAGGTAGCGTCTGACATCGCCAGCTACCTCTCTTCTTCTGCGCCAGACGTGCCGCAGCGGCTCCGTCTTATCACGCAGAACCCACGCATGCGCGTCACAGGCAATGGGCCGCACATGCGCACATTGTTTGCCGCAGTGCAGGGATTCCAAAGTCTGACCCCAATGACCTGCGAAGAGATGGCTACCGGTCCCTGAGCATTCCTACGATAGTAACTTGAGCGAATATTTTGAGAAAATAATTGTCAACATGGGCTATTGGCAACAATTACCTGTTTTTAAATATGTTTAAAATAAAGAATAATTTTTAGTTCCGTCGTGGTTGCAAGCATCAATGAATAATAAAACATGATTTTAAAACATCAAGGTTTTTTACTAGATGTGATTACATACCACATATTGAGACACGTTTTTAGAATGATAATTTACAGAACACACCCTGTACAGAAAATTACCCCCCCACCGCCGCTGCCCTTTTTTTCCCCGTTTGGGCTTTTGAAGACTGTGTTTTTCTGTGTAGTTTTAGAACGCGGTCTGTAGGTGGCGCTCACGTCAAACTCAGAAATCTTACTGCCTGTGCCTCCTGAGTGCTAGGATTAAAGCATTGTTCGGCTGTTAGCTTCAATATGCAGGTATTTTATTGTTTAGGGAAAGAAAAGGCCAAGCACAGAAAACTAAGGAAGCTACATTACACAATGTTTAACATTACTGTAGACTTTCTTGTTGACCACCTTTCCGAACTGTTGGTGAGGTATTCTAATGGATATGTGTAGCTAATGTTCTCTCCCTGTTTTCGAACCAGTGGGCAGCAGTTCCAATCCCTGATTTCCTATTTTCAGCTTGAATGACAGTCAGTTTTCACTTCAACCACAACCTGAACTTCTGAAAACAGGTGAAGAAATTTATTTAAATACAAGCAAAAAAAGTTAAAGCTTCCTGATGTAAATAATAACCTACTAGGTTGAGTGATACAAAATTGTCAGTATATAAAGGTGATTATGGAAATCATTTGCTTACCAGTAATGAAGGCTCAGATTTATCAAAGCACTTCCAAACAATACTTAATAATTTTAATCTAATTAAAACTTTTATTATTTTAACTATCTGTATATGAAATTGTTTTGAAAGTTGACTATATTAGGAACAACTTACAAAATAAAATGAAAAAGTAACTAATGCTATGTACCATGAAGATGTGTTTATGGAGTAAAAATCCAGGACTTTGAATTTATTCTCTCTCGATTTAAAATATAATTGTGATACTCAGCCAATGTGTTCTAGGCTTATATTTTTAAAAGAAATAAAAGAAAAAGATTTTAGATTCCAGAAAAGGCCCAAGGAACCTTGCAAACAGCACAAAAAAACCATGATGTTTGACTCATTGATTGTTTTAAAAAATAATATGAATAACTTAGAAGAAAATCAGTATACATTTCTGATCACAGATTAGTAGACATTTCTGGTAAAACAAAATCAATAAAAATAAGAGCTAAGATTTCATGAGTTACATAAGAGATTTTGTTTCAAAGGACACTCTTCAGAAAGTAGGAAAAAAGCAAAGTAGGCTGGAAAAAATCATTTGCCAACCCCCCCCCCCCCCCCAAAAAAAAAAACAGATTAGGGTTTAATTTTCAGAATATTCAGTAGAGTAATAAACTGAAATCATCCATGTTTTTGTCAGAGGGAATGCATTCAAATGGAAGTTCTCACAAAATAAGATTTAAAAACTGTCAATCAGATAAACACATGGAAACGCAAATGAAAAAACACAATTTGAGACTGCTTAGGGAAAAATAAAAAAGACAATAGTATCTTGGTTGGTGGTAAATTTTGTTATTGCTTTTCTAATTCAGGGTCTTAATCCAAGCCAGGTGTGCTTAGAAAATCCTCTGTATCTCTAGTTGGAGATTGTTTTAATTGTCCCAGGTGGGGAAGATTTTGAGACAGGCTCTGTCCTAGGTTGGAATCCACCATGTAGACTATGCTAAATGAAATAAGGAATTAAGTGGTGCTGGAAATCAGCGAACTTTGCAAGCCTCGACTTCAAAGTAAAACCCTATGCATTTTTTTGCTGTTGTTGTTGTTTACATAGACTCTCACCATGTGGCTCTCACTGGCCTGTAACTTGCTATGTGACCAGGCAGATTCCTACTGTTATTCCCAGTCCTGGCATTATAGATATGCTAACTCACAAGTCCCTTGGGGGTGGAGTGGCAATTTAGTGCACCTGAGTATGACTAAGACCCAGGACCTGAAAACTTACCACAAGCTGGAAAGAATGTAAAGTAATGAGGCCACCTCAGACTCAAAACAGTGGTTCATTCCTATTATCTCAGAAAGGGGAGACAGGATGTTTACCATGAATTGTTGATGTTCTTGAGCAAAATAGTCTGTTCCAGCTCAAATTGGAAAACAGAGTGGGGCTGTCTTCAAAATCACAAAACAAGGGGAATTTGACCATTACTTTGTCAATGCTGAAAAACTAACCATTAAATTGCATTAAGACCTATGTTTCAAGCTAGCTCTTGGGTGACTGATGCAGGTAAATTTCTATGAGTACCAGCCAAACTTGAAGAGCACAGGGACTCTCAGATGAAAAAAAACAACTAAAGTTCAGCTAGGGGAAAAGCATGGCACATGCCTCTAATCCTAGCACCAAGAAGGATGGCAATGGCATACTGCGCGTTGAGAGACTATGTAGGCCTATAGGGATTTGAAGACTATGAATGGACAATAACAACAATAATAATCAAAATTGAACAATAATCAAAAGGACTCTATAGTACTCTGCCTACTTACATCCCAAATTGAAACACAAATATCCATCCATGCAAAATAATGTTTATCAATTTGTAGCAAACATGTTCATGGTAGTCATAAGCCACAATGCTCCATTGTGAGCTTTGTGAATTGTAAACCTATAATCCCAGTTCTTAGAGGTAGGGACATGCATCAGTTCAAGGACATTTTGTCTGTATGGTAAGTTAGCTGAAAACCAGTGGTGTATACCTTGTCTCAAAAAGTATGCAAATCAATCAATGAATAAAATAAGTATATATAAATAGATATATATTTAATATATAATACAATGTATAATACAATGCATAAAATAAGTGTATATATAAATATATAAGTTGTACCATATATCTTTAATTTCAGGACTTCATTATCAGAGGCTGGCGGACATCTGTGAGTTTGAGGCTAGCCTGGTCTACATAGCATGTTCAGGCCAGTGACATTTGCATAGCTAATCTCCATCTAAACTACAAAAAAAAATAGGAAGAGTTTTACTATGAAGTCCAGGCTTATACGAAGTCCCCTGTTTGATCTACAGCACCACATAAACCAGACAAGTAGGACACAGATATTATCCTAGCACTTAGAAGACATAGAGAGGTGGATCAGATGTCCTAGATGCTATACAGGGAGGATGGGGCCAATTTGTGACATATAAGACATCTCTAAGCAAACAAGAAGCAACAAAATGAATTGAAACATGCCTTCTGTGTGATGTGAACTCTGACATTTCCCTATAACCACAAGCCTCTCTTGTTACTGAAACACTAGGTATTCATCTAGAAACCTTATTAACAGTCCCTGTAATAACCCTGAGATTTGCTGTGTTGTATCCACTCCTTTTCCTAATTTGCAAATTTAGTCCTAGAGATCAAGAAAAATTCATAAATTACTCCTAAGTGATTAAAGAGTTTCAAGATAATCTTTTGTTTGTTTCTGAGACAGAGTTCTTCAGGTAGCTTTGACTGGCCTTATGTTCACATGTTGGCCTTGAATTTACAAAACCCTGCCTGCTCTGCCTCTCAAATGCTAAGATTAAAGTTGTATACCACCACACCTACCAACAAAAGTATTCTTTGTTTGTTTTTGGTTTTGTTTTTGTGGGGTTTTTTTTGAGAGAGGGTTTCCCAGTGTGACCCTGGCTTTCCAGAAACTAGGTCTACAGACCTGTCTCCCTCTGCCTTCAAAATGGGGGGATGAGAGGAGCTTCCAGTGCCTGCCTGGCACAAGTGACTCCTGGGCCCAGTTCTGGGGCAAAGATGCCTGCTTTTCACATCAAGGATCTGCCGGAAAAGAAAAAGCTGAAGATGGAGGTTGAGCAACTTCGCAAAGGAGTGAAGTTGCAGAGACAACAGGTGTCAAAATGTTCTGAAGAAACAAAGAACTATA